GACCTCTGATCAGGAGGCTGTGAGGAGCGTGGAGCCACCTCTTAATTGCTGGTGTTCCCAGGTCCACCCTTAACCGGGATGGTAGCACCTGTTAGGGTCCCAGCTATGGGTAAATAGGTAATCCTTCAAACTGGGGTAAAAACACTATGAAAGTGTAAAAATAGGTTTTAATGCCAGAAATACTTTAAAAAACTATTATCAGCAATACATTTTTTTAAAATAATATTACCAGCAATACATTTTTAAGGAAAAAAATATTACCAGAAATAGATTTTTGACGAAACAAAATATTCCCAGGAAAAATAGTTTCTGTCTATATTTCTGAGATGAGGTATTATGTACATTATTTACATTATTCGGACTATTGTCCTCATCTTTGTTGCCATATTTATTACAACGCTTCGGCCTTTTAGTATCTGTCTATATTTCTGAGATGAGGTATTATGTACATTTTTTACATTATTCGGACTATTGTCCTCATCTTTGTCGCCATATTTATTACAACGTTTCAGCCTTTCAGTATCTGTCTATATTTCTGAGATGAGGTATTATGTACACTATTTACATTATTCGGACTAATGTCCTCATCTTTGTCGCCATATTTATTACAACGTTCCGGCCTTTCAGTATGTGTCTATATTTCTGAGATGAGGTATTATGTACATTATTTACATTATTCGGACTATTGTCCTCATTTTGTTGCCATGTTTATCAAAACGTTTCGGCCGCTGTACCCTCCGGCCTTCTTCAGGTGGTTGGAATGTCGAACTGAACCCTTTATTTCGCTCACTGGGATAGACATTCCAACCACCTGAAGAAGGCCGGAGCGTACAACGGCCGAAACTTTGTGATAAACATAGCGACAAAGACGATGACAATAGTACAAATAATGTAAATAGTGGAACAATAATTGTCGGCATTAAATAACCCATTGAGGTTGATATACCATAAAACAAAAGAAACCAAACTACTTCTTGTAAGAATTCACACATGCTTCCAGATTCACTTTATGAGGCTGGAGATGTTGAAGAATTTTATGCTTGTACGAATTCCTCCAGTCTTAGCAAAATTAACTTGTCTTCGATAGACATTTGTTACGAACTCATGTTTTGAAATTCACATTATCTCGACGCTTCTATCAATCGCTCTCTACATTCCATAACAGCTTCGTCCGGCCTGTGTCAACTTTCGGGAAATGTAGTTCTTTCCGCTATGGCTTTCAAGGCCGGTCGACACTTTTGGAGCAAACTCGACTGATTCTGGGTGCTTACTACGGGGCTCTGCCCAAGAAATTAAAAGAGTTATGGTAAAGTAAAAGACGTTCCTAAAAATCCTCTCCAAAATCGAGTCCTTTGGCAACACGCGGCGTAGGAAAGCCAACCTCGAGGCGTGTCTGTGACTAACAAGTGTCACATTCCCAGCCCCCCATGACATGAATGTTGGGCACATATATCTCTGTTGGTATAATACTTGCGACCACCCGATAAAGAGGGAGGAGACCAAGCGCTCGATAGCATTCTTATGCTCCTTACAAAGGGGAAGTACAGACCACTGGTAAAGGATCAGAGGAAAAGACGTAAGTGGACCTAACCTTCAAGGACAACCGTCTTCGGAGTCAAATCCGGCCCGACACTCCGACCTTTGTCTGTACCTCTGACCATTTCTTCTCCAGCAGGAGTCCAGGATCGAATCACACTCCAAGAATTCAGACGGATCCGTCAGTCCAACCAAAGGGACCCGGAAGAGCGACACCCTTTCAGGCACTTAAGCCGGAAGACTTGATGCGGTTAATTTTGGTCCCCGTGACCTTTTCGTACCTTTCAAGCGCCTTCTGTACCACCTCAATGTCGCTGTCGCACGACACGAAAATGGATACGTCATCAACGGACGGGGAAACTCTAGGTGGAGCCTATTCAGGGACACCGATTCCACGTAGCGCCCCCTGTACTGTTTCCTTACTGAACCCAATTAAATTCCGATTTTTTTTTTTTACATCGGTGGTCAGCAGTAAGATTGCTTTTTTTAATTTACGGCGTCCATTTATTCCGGAATAGTGAGAAACTCAATTCCTAATATTTTGTCTGAAGTTTCGCGTAGTAATTGGCACCTTCTTTGGGCCTGTTTTAAGTTCAGGTCGTTTTTTAGGAGATGCATTTTGTTCCATCTACACCGGCGGTGTCTGGTATTTAAGTAAATGCTCTGTTTATAATAAACAGTATTAAATAACATTTACCGGCTTGAATGTCCGAGAAATTTTCATAGAAAATATTCGTCCTTTGACAGGATTCGAACCTGCATCCTATACGGAACCGTCATTTACGCTGACGTGCCTTACCGATCGGCCACAAAGGAGCCTTCGGTAGGCAAGGTCGAATTTACTGCTTATAAACTTCAATCTTCCATGAATCTCGTACATTCATAACTGCTCTGGCGTATCAAATGTAAACAAATGACGTCATATATTAAGAAATGGACAAAGTCCGACAATTTATTTATTAAAGACATTTTTATGTTTAACGTTCTTTTTTATAGATACAAGTACATAAGTAAATGCTCTGTTTATAATAAACAGTATTAAATAACATTTCTGAATGTCCGAGAAATTTGTGGCCGATCGGTAAGGCACGTCAGCGTAAATGACGGTTCCGTATAGGATGCAGATTCGGATCCTGTCAAAGGACGAATATTTTCTATGAAAATTTCTCGGACATTCAGGCCGGTAAATGTTATTTAATACTGTTTATTATAAACAGAGCATTTACTTAAATACTTGTATCTATAAAAAGAACGTTAAACATAAAATGTCTTTTTATATATATATATATATATATATATATATATATATATATATATATATATATATCATGGTCGGTGTACTTTAAATCATCCAGGCATCCTAAAACAACTTTTGAAATAATATAATGTGCCAAGACTAATTTCCATCCATTTTTAAAACAGAGACATGCATGCACCCAATTTTTTTTTTTTACCGTATTGAGCTGTACAATCGCTTTTATATTTAAAGATCTGAAAACCACCACGTCTTCAATTTGGGAGATGTCCACAGAAGTATTTTCCATTCGGGCAAACAAAAGCGTGATACATTGAGGATGTAATTAATTAATTGTAACTTTATCACCGTTAGTTACTGCGCATGCGTCAGCGATAATCGAAACGCCATCTTGATGGTCACATTTCCAATTTTCAAAATAGAAACAAATTATTTAGAAAGCGGATCGCCTTTAAAAGTACGGTCGCCATTTAATCAATTAATATATGTGATGGCGAACTGCAAAGATTTATTCTGTTGCTGGGATTGCTTAATAGGAATGTCGGGGAAGAGAATCCGAAATGACTTGAAGACAAAAGGGAAATGAAAACTTGATACAGCCATCTTATTTCCTTTTTCTGTCTTTCTCAAACAATTCTTCTGTTAATTCTGTGTTAATGTTAATCTGATTTCATCTATCTATCTCAGTCTGTTCATATCTATCTATCTATCTATCTATCTATCTATCTATCTATCTAGTCTGTTCATATCTATCTATCTATCTATCTATCTATCTATCTATCTAAGTCTGTTCATATCTATCTATCTGATCTATCAAATTTATTTTATCATATTTCTATCTATCTATCTATCTATCTATCTATCTATCTATCTCTATCTATCTATCTGTTTATTCATATCTATCAATCTATCTATTTATCTATCTATCTATCTATCTATCTATCTATCTATCTATCTAATCTATTTATCTGTTCAGTTTATCTATCTATCTATCTGATTGACATTGCATTCAAATTTGAATTTTATCATATTTGACTTTTTTAATATCTATCTATCTATCTATCTATCTATCTATCTATCTATCTATCTATCTATCTGCATCAGTTTATTCATATCTATCAATCTATCTCAGTTTATTCATATTTATCTCCGTCAGATTATTCATATCTATCTATCTATCTATCTATCTATCTATCTATCTATCTATCTATCTATCTATCTATCTATCAGTTTATTCATATGTATCTAAGTTTATTCATATATTTATCTATCTGTATCAGTTTATTCATATCTATCCATCTATTTATATAATTTTATTCATATCTATCTATCTATCTATCTATCTATCTATCTATCTATCTAATTCAGTTTATTCATGTCTACTTATCTATTTATTATATTTATTCTATCTATCTAATATATCTATCCATTTATTTGAATATAATGTTATTCATATTCTATATATCTATCTATCTATCTATCTGGACGAAATCAGTCGCCATCTATCTATCTGAAATCAGTCAGTAAATCAATTTTATTCATATGTATCTGACCATAACCCAGTTGAAACCCTTTGGACTTTAATGGACAAGAGCAATACCAATCCAAACAAAAAAAACGGAACTTTTTTATAAGATGAAGGCGTTATTAAAATAAAAAGGTTACCCAACACAATCCGTTTAAATATGATCACGTTGTCGTCACGTGGGCGATGTACTATATATATATATATAAAATATATTCCTAAAATTTGAGTTTATTTTGTTTTAATGAAAACGAAAAGAATTTTATTTTGATCTAAAACTGTTTGTTATATGTACGTTTGTCGAGCATTAATCTTGTCATAAATATTTAGAAAAAAAAAATTTTTGCTATATAAAAAAAAAAAAAATTGCCAGGTTTAAAACACCCAAGTTATCTGTTTGGATTGGTATTCCTTTTTTTTCTTTTATGTCTATCGTCTATTTTTTTCATGTTGAATTATATATGGTCTATGTTAATTATGTTTTATGAATATGTCCTGAAGATGGTCTATTAGACCGAAACGTCCGACGTTGACATTAAACATTAAAACAGCATAATCGCATATTTATTTTTTTTTTTCAGTATACGTTTTTCTTCATATATATATATATATATATATATATATATATATGTTTGGTGTGTGTCTATCGTCTTTTTCATGTTGTGTGTGTATACAATATTCCCCATGCTATTCCAATGTGCCTTTGTATCTGTTTATCTGTCGATTTGTTTATCTATTTATCTATCTATCCTAGTTTGTTCATATTTGTCTATCCTATCTGTTTATCTGTCGATTCGTTTATTATCTATCTATCTATCTATCTATCTATCTATCTATCTATCTATCTATCTATCTATCTCTGTTCATATCTATCTACCTATCTCAGCCTGTTTATTTCTATCTATGATAGTCTGTTCATACCTATCTCTTTATCAGCTGTTTAAAGTACGACTCAAATTTATATCTTGCCATTATCTCACCCGCATTATATATATATATATATATATATATATATATATATATATATATATATAGTTTATGCAAACTTAGTTTAAGCAAACTTAGGTAATCAGTATGGGTAGACCTGAGGAGGATGATATCCAGAGAGCTCAATGTAAAATTCAGAGTAGATATGTTTGAATAAAAAACAGACCACGTTAAGATTCCATGAAATAATTAAGTTATTCACACACACACACACACACACACACACACACACACACACACACACACACACACACACACACACATATATATATATATATATATATATATATATATATATATTACTGTGTTATCAAAAGTAGAAAAATGCTTGAAACAAAAAATAAGCAATAATTAATTTTTACACCCTGTACAAGAACCACACTGTTACGGAGTGGCATTATTACCCAAGGAAGGTGGTAATGCCGCCAAGACGCAAGGCCCACCGGAAGTGAAAGAGAATGAAAAGTCTTTAGAACTAACCGGAAACCCAATCTTAAGCTGGAAGCAAGTAATAAACCTCTATTCCCGTTAAAAAAAAAGTGTGGAGGAGAGTGAACCGGGCGGCAGGCAAACCTATCTACTCCTATTGAGGAAAAATAAACCAAATAAATAGTTACGTACTGGACATTTGCGTCCCTAGACAAACGCGTCATTGCATAATTGCGTACTTCTGATAATGTTTTGAAGTTACCATTTTTTTTAAAGAGCTGTTTAATATAGAAATTTGCACACCAATACCTTTAATTATTCTAAACAAGCAGAAAGGTAGTTACCATAAATAAAAAAACTGAAAAAAAAAATTCATTTTAAAGCAATAGAAAATTAAGTTAGCAGTTTCAGTTCACTCCAGCAGGGTGTACCACAAACACCTAATAGATTCTGGATTTTATAGATTATATTTTTATTTGGAACCGATGGCTAAGTTCCAAAAATCAAACCCTGGTGGAAAAATATTTGTGGATGAGGAAAATTAAGCTACCACTATCATAAGAAAAACTCTGATGAAACAAAAACATACTGGCGATGTGTAGAGTGTTCTTGCAACACTGTTAATCTGTCATTGTATTTTGAATAAAATAAACTTTTAATTTTTTTATTTTATTACTTTGTCAAAAATTTACGATTACTACTTCTGCTTTTTTCAAAATGTATGGTAATTGCCTTTAAAAGCTTCAAAAATTATCAAAGTTGTGCAATTATCAAGGGACACATTTGTCTAGCGACACAATTGTCTGGTGACGCATTTGTCAAGCGACGCAAATGTCCAGGAACATAATTGTTTGGTACGCAATTGTCTGGGACGCAAATGTCCAGTACGCAACTTTCCTAGAATCTTTTAGAAGGAACCGTAAGCCCAATCCTAAACAGGAAACAAGGGATAAAATTCTACACCTGTTCAAAAGCCCGGGGAAGTGTGTGAACAGGACAACAGGTGAACAGGCTTTTCTTTATTGTTTCATGCAATACAAAGGCCAAAATTAGCCTAAAACGAAAAAAATAATGTATACTCACCATACTGATTGGTTTAGTTTCAGGTGGTGCTAACCATTACCCCATCACAAGGTGCTCAAAATGATTTTCTAAGCTAGATTAGATGTGGCACAAGGCCGAAAGTATGGGGCACCCAGTGAGGATCAAACTCACTACTCAGTCGTAATTGTTCTAGAGACAAACTTGCAAAACCATTACACCATCTCAAGTTGCCCAAAATGATTTTCTAAGCTAGATTAGATGTGGCACAAGGCCGAAAGTATGGGGCGCCCAGTGAGAATCAAACTCACTACTCTGTCGTAATTGATCTAGAGAGACAAGCTTGCTAACCATTAGCCCATCTCAAGTTGCCCAAAATGATTTTCTAAGCTAGATTAGATGTGGCACAAGGCCGAAAGTATGGGGCACCCAGTGAGGATCAAACTCACTACTCAGTCGTAATTGTTCTAGCGAGACAAACTTGCTAACCATTACACCATCTCAAGTTGCCCAAAATGATTTTCTAAGCTAGATTAGATGTGGCACAAGGCCGAAAGTATGGGGCACCCAGTGAGAATCAAACTCACTACTCTGTCGTAATTGATCTAGAGAGACAAGCTTGCTAACCATGACACCATCTCAAGGTGCCCAAAATAATTTTGTAAGCGTAGCGAATATGTGGCCCAAGGCCAAATTATGGCGGTACCCAGTGAGGATCGAACTCACTACTCAATCGTAATATTTCTAGCGAGACGATATATATATATATATATATATATATATATATATATATATATATATATATATATATCGTCTCGCTAGAAATATAAATATATATATATATATATATATATATATATATATATATATATATATATATGATTGAGGAATCGTAGAGACGAGTTCGAATTCAGTCGAATATTCACCTTGCGAAAGGTATGAATCTTCTTCTTTCCCCAGCTATGAGTCAATAGCAGGACAGACCGGGTTCTATAGCCTTGGATTGCAACTGGTCGACCTCAGAAAGAAATGTCAACCTACTGCGGGGAAAAAAAATCTGCCTCGTCAGTCATGTATCGAAAGATACATGATCGCTTAAGCATGTAACACGCATGGCACAAAACTGATTGATCCTGAAAGCGTATATAAGCAGGTATATAGAAAACATTGTGTAAAGTGGTATCACCAAAACATTCTACTGCGGTCGTCAGATGTAGAAAGATGTAAACTGCATTTGCCCTCGGTGCTGTACAACAAATTAAAGGTGGCAGATTTAAAAAAAAAAAAAAAAAAAAAAAAAGGTGCCGAACCATGGGAGGTGTCGGAGAACAGGATTAAGAAGTTCGAATTATTTTAATTTTGCTCTCGAAAAAAAAAAAAAAAAATCCTTGAAAATTAATTTTTCAAAGATTCTAGAAGTCTCGGATTTATTTAATGTCGTAAGTTTTTCCAGAAAGAAGGAAGAAAAAAAAAAAAAAAAAAAAAAGAAAGAAAATGAGCAGAAATTTAGGACAGCCATGGAAAATGTCGGAAAACATCAACACGTGATTCGTTAGGCTTATAGAACTGAACGACATTCTTTGAGAAGAAGTCAAGAATAAAATTAAAAGAGCAACAACAAGAAGAACAAGAACAACGACAACAACAAAGTGACAACAATCCGTGCTGAAAAATCCGAGGAAAAGTTTCAAAAGGTCACGAAAGAATACGTGAGAGAAGGCCAGCTTGGAAGCTATGGGCTTACGACATTTGCATAAAAAAGAGAGAAGACAGTAGAGAGAATTAAAAAAAAAAATTAAAAAAAAATGGAATTCACAGTCAGAGATGATCAATGGATCTAATTATAAAACCCATTGTACACGAGGAGTGCATTAAGGTGCCTGTTCAACCTCAAGGGCGGGGGTCCTTGTCGATATCAATGGAGATGGATTTATCTCAATCTTATCCATTTCTCATTTTATCTATCATGTTAGATCTTGAAAGTTATAAAAATCCGTTCATTTGTCTGCCTGCCCGCCACTTTATCGCTCGCTCAACTGCTATCTATCTATCTATCTATCTATCTATCTATCTATCTATCTATCTATCTATCTATCTATCTATCTAATACAAGTCTCTCCCTTTCTTTCTTTCTTTCTTTTCTTTCTAATGCAAGTTTCTCCTTCCTTCCTTCCTTCCTTCCTTCCTTCCTTCCTATTATCTTCCTTCCTTCCTTCCTATCTATCTATCTATCTATCTATCTATCCCCTATCTATCTACTTTTCATCTATCTATTACAACTCTCTCCTTCCTTCCTTCCCTTCTATTTTTCTATTTCTAATACAAGTCTCTTCCTTCTTTTCCTTCCTTCCTTCCTTCCTTCCTTCTATGTATCTATCTTTCTAATACAAGTTTCTCCCTTCCTTTTCCTTTCTTTTCTATTATCTATCTATCTATTCTTTATTTCTATTCATCTATTATCTTTCTTTCTTTCCTTCCCTAATGCTTTCCTTTCTAACACAAGTCTCCTTCCTTCCTTCCTTCCTTCTTCCTTCCTTCCTATCTATCTATCTATCTATCTATCTATCTATCTATCTATCTATCTATCTATCTATTACAAGTCTCTCCCTCCCTTCCTTCCCTACTTCTTTCCTTTCTAACACAAGTCTCTTCCTTCCTTCCTTCCTTCCTTCCTTCTATCTATCTATCTATCTATCTATCTATCTATCTATCTATCTATCTATCTATCTATCTATCTAATACGTCTCTCCCTTTCTTTCTTTCTTTCTTTCTAATGCAAGTCTCTCTCATCCTTCCTTCCTTCCTTCCTTTCTATCTATCTATCTATCTATCTATCTATCTATCTATCTATCTATCTATCTATCTATCTATCTATGTCTTCTACTAGATCTAGCTATCTATCTATTTATCTAATACAAGTCTCTCCCTTTCTTTCTTTCTCTCTTTCTTTCTTTCTTTCTTTCTTTCTTTCTTTCTTTCTTTCTTTCTTTCTTTCTTTCTTTCTAATGCAAGTTTCTCCCTTCCTTCCTTCCTTACTTCCTTCTTTTCTATCTATCTATCTATCTATCTATTACAAGTCTCTCCCTCCCTTCCTTCCCTACTTTTTCCTTTCTAATACAAGTCTCTTCCTTCCTTCCTTCCTTCCTTCCTTCCTTCCTTCCTTCCTTCTATCTATCTATCTATCTATCTATCTATCTATCTATCTATCTATCGATCTAATACGTCTCTCCCTTTCTTTCTTTCTTTCTTTCTTTCTTTCTTTCTTTCTTTCTAATGCAAGTCTCTGTCATCCTTCCTTGCTTCCTTACTTCCTTTCTATCTATCTATCTATCTATCTATCTATCTATCTATCTATCTATCTATCTATCTATCTATCTAATACAAGTCTCTCCCTCCCTTCCTTCCCTACTTCTTTCCTTTCTAACACACGTCTCTTCCTTCCTTCCTTCCTTCCTTCCTTCCTTCCTTCCTTCCTTCCTTCCTTCCTTCCTTCCTTCCTTCCTTTCTATCTATCTATCTATTTATCTATCTATCTAAGTTTATACTTGGCTGAACCATGGAATGTAGTTCATCCGAGCACTTTCCGTGGCAGTAGCGACAGAGCAGTGAGAGACCCACCGCAACCCGCCCGTGAGAGAGAGGTTAGAAGATGGGAACCAATTCTTCTCCAACAAGGACTCTGGGACGCTTTTAAACTCTATCAAGACTAGAAAGTCATATCTGTGCAGCTCCGGCCCAAATATGGCAACAGTACGTCATTTTCCGTCTGATCTGAAATATAGAGCAAAGCATGAGGCGTCAGGTGACTTACTGGAACGATACAGGGAGCCGTTCATTTTACCTGGATCTTTAGCGATGGAGCGGATGTGATTTTGAGGCCCAATATCCTCTCAGGGCACGAGGCATTCTCGAGGGGACATTAGTTCATCGCGGCAGATCGAGGTCTGACCAGCGGTGCTGGGTAACCAGTTTTGTTTTAGAGGCATTGAATATAATCAGCCATTTTTCCCCACTTAGAAGTTCGTGCTAGATCGGAAGAAAGGTCAGCTGCCAGGCTCTGATCGTCAAGAGTTGTAGAGATGCGCCCGTTTATCGTCGTACCATCGTCATAGATATTTGCAAATGGTTGGTGTATATTCTTAGGTAGGCCATTTATGTACACCAGAAAGAGGTTTGGTTTGAGAAGTGATCCTTGGGGGGACGCCTGGGTTAGCCACCAGGGACTTGGAGGATCTACCTATTAAGAAGGATTTTATAATAGATGGAATCCTCCAATGATTCCTTAGCTTTTGTGCCACAACTTCGAGATATCTAATGCTATGGTCTTTACGGCGTGTGTGCCGTCAAGGGACCCACTAATTCTGTGTTTAATAGTAGTTAGGACGTCACCAGTGAATCGGGCTGATCGAAACCCATACTGCTCCAGGTGCCCGACGACCTTGTTGATTAAGGCCTCAAAAAGCTTACTGAATATCCTGGGGAGACTCATGGGTCTATACCTTGTGGAGAAGGATCGGTCACCGCGTTCTTTGCCACTTTCCAGAAGCTTGAAAAATAATTCTCCTTCAAGCAGCGGTTAAATAACTTCGCTAGGATCAGAGATAATTCTGGGTTGATATTCTTAAGGACGACCACTGGAATTTTATCTGGGCCAGTGTTTTTTTTGGCTTTTGATAAGTCTAGGGACTTCTCTTATTGAAATAAGTATATTACTGAGATTGTGCTCATTGAGATATGGGAAGTTGGGGAGGAGGTGGCCTTTGTCATCTAACGTTGGGTTTGAGACAAAGATCAAGACCAAGGGTTTCGTCTTGTCTTTCAAGGCCATTTAGAATAGTGGGCGCTTTGCCCCTCTTCATAATTTGGTTGCCGATCTTCCAGAAGAATAGAATTTATGGCTACATCTCGCCAGATTAACTGTAAATTGATCAGATCTCGATTTCCAGTCTGCGCTTAAATTAAAAAAAGTCTAGCTTCCATAGCGAAGAGCGATATTTATTTGTAAATATTTACAAAATGTGGCACAAGGCCAAAATGGCGAACGGGGGAAAAGGACGGACTTCATCTGTCTTAACTTTAAATTTAGCTACCCAAAAACACTGACCCAAACATACCATAATATCCTTAACAGGAAAACAACACATTGTTACTTACCTTTCTTACTATACCCACCATAATAGTATCTGTCTATATTTCTGAGATGAGGTACTATGTACACTATTTACATTATTCGGACTATTGTCCTCATCTTTGTTGCCATATTTATTACAACGTTTCGGCCTTTTAATATCTGTCTATATTTCTGAGATGAGGTACTATGTACACTATTTACATTATTCGGACTATTGTCCTCATCTTTGTTGCCATATTTATTACAACGTTTCGGCCTTTTAATATCTGTCTATATTTCTGAGATGAGGTATTATGTACACTATTTACATTATTCGGACTATTGTCCCTCATCTTTGTTGCCATATTTATTACAACGTTTCGGCCTTTTAATATCTGTCTATATTTCTGAGATGAGGTATTATGTACATTATTTACATTATTCGGACTATTGTCCTCATCTTTGTTGCCATATTTATTACAACGTTTCGGCCTTTCATTATCTGTCTATTTTTTTGAGATGAGGTATTATGTATACTATTTACATTATTCGGACTATTGTCGTCATCTTGGTAGCCATATTTATTACAACGTTGCGGTCCATATAACATCAGGACAACCTTCGCAGATATCTCTCCCGTGTAAGACCCCCCCATAGAGGAGAACATGACTAAAGACTGTGTGTACGCTATCCCGTGCAGCTGTGGAAAGGAATATAAAGGAGAGACAGTCCGCCCCCTCAAGGTAAGGCTTCAAGAACACCAGAAAGCTGTAACGCTAGGGGAAGTAGAAAAATCAGGCATGGCTGACCACATATGGAGAGAGAAGGGAGATCACCGCCTTCTGTGGGATCATGTTGAGATCATAGACAAGGAACACCATTCGAAAATTCGTAAACTTAAGGAATCAGCACATATGCTAGGCCACAAAAACTTCCTGAGCCGACCAAGCATAGAAATAAATACAATATGGGAACCAGTAATAAGGAGTGCCAGAGAAAAGCAATAATAACAACAAAAATTGCAATATGAGCTCTGGTAAAAACATGAATGATAATAGCAAAAATTTACTGGTAAAAAATGGTTGCTGAAGACATTAGGGTTAGGGTTAAGGTTAGTCATCCACCAGAGAACTGACATCACCGACCACCTAACGAGGGATAGGGAATTAAACTAAAGAAAAATAGAGACAGAAATAAAAGGCGCCAATGAGCATACATAACTGGAATGTAGAAACTAATATACCCAGAAATTCACACATGGCACAGTGGATGAAGGCGTTAGTTAGATCCAGTGACAGGACCCAAAGAGTGTGAGTTCAGTACCCGGCTAAGGCAGTGGAGAACTTTCAGAGGGAAATCAACAGGAGATAACTGATAACTGACATCCATTAAAACATGGCACTCCAGTGAGCGAAATAAAGGGTGTACTACGGCCAAAACCTTGTAATAAATATGGGGACAACGTATTCAGACAATAGTCCGATAATGTAAATGATACCCACCGTAATACCACATTGTCTCTATGAAAATCCTAACTAGTCCCCTTATGTACAACTTATTGTCTGTTGGGGGGAAGGAAATTAAACAACAATTTAAAAACTAGCCCCAATGCGTATTTACAATATGAAAGCAAAACTATTTACAAGATACTAATGTTAGTAAGAAAATAATGTTTGTAATACCGCCCCCCCATCAATTAACCCAAAATCGATCATGCACTTACTCAAACACACAACAAAAAATACGAAAATCACACCCGATGGGGAATTAAACCAAAGAAAAATAGGAACAGAAATAAAAGGCGCCAATGAGCATTTATAACTGGAATGAAGAAACTAAGATTACAAAAACAACCCTAAAATAGCCGGGGTTCAATCCAGTAAGAACAAAATCTTGATGCCTAACCGGCATCAAAATGCCACTCTAAGTCAGCACTTTTCAATTGACACAGTCGCGCAAGATCCACCCACCTTTTACCAAATTCTAATGAAGAGAGCCGCCGCTTTTCCGGCTTAATCTTGACTTGAAGCGGATGCTTAAAGATTAGTTGGGAAGGAGTGAACTTCTCGCCTCCATAGAATTCCTTCTGGCGTGTCGTCCAAGTCACGACTCTTATAACCCCTAGCAAGCAAAAGAACACATAGTGTTCAGCCTTAGTCAACGGCGGCACCTCAGCGAAGAGCGATATTTATTCTGTTTAATACAGAAACGTGGCACATGGCCGAAAAGGGGGGATTGGGTAAAGGACGGTCTTGTTCTGTCTTAACTATAACTTAGCTAGCCACAAACACTGACCCAATCGTACGAACAATATTCCTTGCACCAAAACAACCCATTCATACATACCTTTCTTACTACAATCACCATAATACCTATTTGTCTCTATGAAAATGCTAATTAGTCCCCATATTTACAATTCATTGCCTGTGGTGGGGAGGGGAATAAAAAACAACAATTCTAAAAACTAGCCTCAATGAGTATTTACAATATGAATACAAAAAATATATACAAGAAACTAAAGAAAAATAAGATTAGTAATAACCCCCACACCAATCACTAAATGTGGCAGAAACATCGGTTCATTGGTCGAAATCAATGTGGGACTATAATAGTATAAAACATTCATTCATCCCAAGCACTCACACTGACATGCACTCATTCAGACACAACAACAAATACGAAAAATACCACTCACGCGAAACGAAAGGCGCCCCGCTTCCACCAGCGAACTGACATCACTGACCACCTAACGAGGGAGGGGATGGAGAATTAAACTTAGAGAAAAAATAGGGACGGAAATAAAAGGGGCCAATGAGCATACATACCCTAGCTAAGTTAACTGAAAAAGGAAGCTAAAGCATCAAGCTAGCCTAGTTTCGGGATGGGTTGCACAAGTTCAACCCAGGAAGAGCAATATCCTGATGCCTAACCAGCATCAAAGTGCCACTCTAAGTCAGCCCCTTTCAATCAACACAAACGCGCAAGATTCACCCACCTTTTGCTGAATTCTGATGAAGAGAGCCTCCGCCTTTCCGACCTAATCTTGACTTGAAGCTGATGCTTAAAGTACAAGATCAGTTGGGAAGAAGTGAACTGCTCGCTTCCATAGAATCACTTCTGGCGTGTCGTCCAAGTCACGACTCTTATAACCCCTAGCAAGCAAAAGAACACATAGTGTTCAGCTGTAGTCAACGGCGGTCAAGCAGCGAAGAGACCATCCAAACAATTACCCTGAAAGTATTTATAGAAAAGACAGGTAGCCTTACGGCGGTTGGAAAATGACTGGAGCTGAATAGCCATATCAAGACCAATAATATTGCAGATTTTTTTTTATCAAGGATCAGAAGGTAAATATCAGGGGCGCCAGACCATATGTGGCAGCAATATTATAAGCATGGACGAATGGTAGATTTGATTCAGTGGAATC